AAGTACAGACTGGAAGGAAGAAGCCGGGACACGTGTTCTCAGCGCTTCCCACGTGCTAGATCCCATGGCTTTGGAAAGCACAGGACCACAACGTCTCCTCCTGATCGACTGGCAGGCACTTCAGGGATGGAATGCTCACCACTTTGTATTGACATCTACGCAGAAGGTTCCTTTCTGCAGCCAGGACTAACACATTCTTGGGTGCACCTGTCAGATCTCGATGAGGAAAAAGACAAACCGGACAGGTCAGGCTGAGACGGCAGAGACTCGGCTCCAGACTGGACCCAGACCTCAGGGCTGGGGGTCTGCAATCCTCCTAGTCAGGGTCTAGGCGATGGGTTCACACTGACCCCATCGTGTCCTGTGGGGACTGGAAGGCTGTGCTGGGAACAGGCATTAGGCCTTATTATGTCCCAGGACAAAATCTAGTGGGAGGAAAAAGAAAGTATAAGATCAAGAAGGGTGGAAGCTACATCAAGGAAGACACCAGCATGGTGAAGCAGATATGAGGAAGGGGTCCCAGGAACCAGGAACTCTCCCTCCTCTCCTGGGGTCACATGAAAAGACTGCTGTAAAAAGGTATCCTGTGCATGGGGCCAGGGGCCATCCCTGTGCCTGGAGGAGGTGTCCCTGTAGACAGCAAGGGGCAGAACACAGAGTGCCACAGTGGGTGTTGGCACAGACAGCTGGTCAACGAGTCAGACTCCAGGGGGTTTTGGGCAAACTGTCCTCCCTGACGTGTGACCGTCCTCCCTGTGAGGCCCCATCACCCGGGAGCTCCTAGTCCTGCTCCCTCAGCACATGGTGCAGATCAGGGTCACCTCCTCCCCATCCTCCACGGAGTCTTTTCCAAGTCCAGATCTGGGAGGGGCTGTTAGGAGGTGAGGAGTCAGCGCGTGTTTCAAGGAGGACGTGGGCTCCTGCGAGAGTCTGTCCAGAGGAGACACATCTCGTGGGCAGAGTCCTCCCCGTGGAACCTGTGTGATGTTGTCTGTGTGTGTGCGTGTGTGTGTGTGTCTAAATGAGAGTGTGTTAGCATATTACTAATGTGTATGCTTCAAGTTTTATGTGGTTTTTGCTCTTATGGTGTTAAATTTAAATTTACATGACTTAATATGAAAGACAAGTTGAACACTGGAAAACTGACTGTTGGTAACACTATATTTATGTGGGTTTAATATTATCATTTTTATTATTTTAGTTAAATTTATATTTTTAAATGTTTGAATATAAAGCACAACATGTGTATTAGGATAAATGACAGTTAATTACATTATCAGTTTACCATCTGGTATTATAATCTCTTTGTTAATATTTTGTTTAGGACATTTGGTTTTATGTTTAATGATAGAGGTTTGTAATTTTACTTGTTTTTCCTATTTTATTTACAGGTGTTTATAACTGTTTTAACTGCTTTCTGAAAGTAGTTGGAAATTACATCTTTTTCAATATTTTTTAAAAAACATAGAAATCAGATCTGTTGGAAACATGTGATTGCTGAGGTTTTGTTAGAGATTCTGGATGAATATGTGTATGTTATGTCTGTGTGTGGAATAATTGCATAATAAAATTTTGGGGTTTTCTCCTTGGAAATTAGTCCGTTTTCTTATTTTCTCTATTAGTGACAGTGTTGCATTTTCCTTAGGAAAAATGCATTTTATCTCTTTTTTCCAGGTTACCATTTTAAAAATTTTTTTCATTTTCCACATTCTACCAGGAGGGGACGAGGTGAGGCTGCCCTCTGGTCCCTGCACAGCTGCTTAGGGAGGACCAAGCACTCCCGGGAGCTGGGCCTGGAGGTGGGGCCTGTGCTCCTGATGGGTACTGAGCAGTCCTCCTACACGTGATTTGAACCAACTTCCTGTCCTTTTTTCACTGACACCTGCACAGGGGCACCTGTGCATCAGTTTGCTTTTCTAGACTGTACTTCATGAAGAGGGGAGGGCACTGCAACATTTAATGGTTCCATACGCACAGCTTTACAGCTTCCATGGGCCAGGACTCCATTTGGAAATGTAAACGTAGGATGTGACTCAGCAGAAATGAACCACAGAATCAGGGAAGCCAACCATGGACCTGTGAATGGAGACCAGGTGAGCTGCCCAACAGCTGGGCCCTCAGGTCTCTGGTCCTCGGTGACACTGTGCCCCGTGACCAGCAAAGCATGCTGTGGGGCTGCCCTGTGGTCCAGGACTGAGACCAGTGAGACCCCTGTCCCTCCCACCCCAGTCACAGGCTCTGTGACTTCCCAGTGGGCTCAGTGCTGGAGGAGGAGGGACAGCTCAGCTCCTCCGAAGGAGAAAAGCAGGGTTTTCACAGAGGAAGGGAGACCTGTCCCAGGGATGGGGGTAGCTGTGGGGGGACTAGATTTCAGGGCCCAGATGGGAGGAACCCACCATCTCCGCCTTCAGCCCTCAGGCTCTGCCGGGAAGGGATTTAAGACTGAGGTCACAGGGGCTGGGGGAGCACACTTGGTGACAGGCGTCACCCCATCACTCAATCTCTCATCACTGTGCCTTATGGGTCAGGGTGACGTTCCTGCATCTGCTCGATACAGACCTCTCCCAGGGGACAGCAGGTGACATTGGGTAGGGAGAGGGAGGAAGCTGATTTGCATAAAGCCCCTTCTCCTCCCAGTGGGTCCAGGAGGCATGAAAAGGCCCGAGGACCCCACAGTGCAGCCCAGGAGGCTGAGGAGCCACGTCCCAGGAGAGTCCCCACCATGGCCTGGACGGTGCTTCTGCTCGGGCTCCTCGCTCATGGCTCAGGTCAGGGGCCAGAATGCTGAGTCCTTGGGGGGTGCCTACAACCAGGTATTGGAGTGACCCTTGTCCCCATTTCCACCCCTGTCTCTCTCCTGTGCCTTTTAGGGGTGGATTCTCAGACTGTGGTGACCCAGAAGCCGTCCCTGTCAGTGTCTCCAGGAGGGACAGTCACACTCACCTGTGGCCTCAGCTCTGGGTCTGTCACTACCAGTAACTACCCTGGTTGGATCCAGCAGACACCAGGCCAGGTTCTACACACTCTTATCTACAGCACAAGCAGCTGCCTCTCTGGTGTCCCCAGTCGCTTCTCTGGATCCATCTCTGGGAACAAAACCACCCTCACCATCACGGGGGCCCAGCCCGAGGATGAGGCCGACTATTACTGTGCTGTATATATATGGGTAGTGGCAGTTACACTAACTCAGTGATGTAAACTCACGGGGAAGAGCTACCAAAACCTCCCCCTGAGCTCAGTGAGCTGAGTCCTGAGGGGCAGGTGAGGAAGAGAGTATGTGAAATTTTAGCACCACAGCGGTAGGGGGTGCTATGCCCCCAGGTCCTGTCCAGACCATGTGCCTCCTCCAGCCTCTCCCAGGGTGTGTCCATCTTCCCCGCCTGACCAAGACTGGGCTTCCTCTCTCCATTCCTGACTCTGTTGAGGGGGATGGGGTTCAGCTCCGGAATTTTAAGTCAACAGTGAGACTCAGAGGCCCCAGCAGTATTCCAAAACCATCACATACGTATGTTCATTTTCTCAGTTGACCACTGCGGCCCGCAGTTGAGTCAGGAGCCAAAGGCCAAAGTCTGTATAATGACATTCAGAGGCTTCAGGACGTGGGAAGAGGACACTGCCTCCCAACCTCAACTGCTTTGTTGTGGGAGACGAGGTTTTTTGAAAAAGTGCCCCAGCTCTTCCCCTGTAAACTTGGTGAAAACACAAGTAGATGGGGAGAGAGGCAGCTGAGGAAGCCTTTTACATGGCTACTACGGCGTCTGTAATGTCTATGTGTCTGCACCCACAGCCAGAGAGAGGAACACGTCACAGGTAGCTCTTTAAGTCATTTGGGGGATGCTTTGCTCAATAAAGTTCTCAAGAAAATTAAAAAAAGAAAGAAAGAAAGAAATCTGTGTGGGTGTCCGCCCATCACTGCTTTAACAAGCTTCCCGAGAGCACTACATGAATGTCACTGTTGGAGAACCAGCTGCACTGGGATCACTGTGCCATGATCCAGGGGGCGCCGGGTTGGAGGCCCCGGCGCTGGCGTCTCACAGCCCCTCTCTCATCTGAGGGACATCAGCAACAGATGGAAAGTCTGGAGCCACTGCTGTCCCTGATGTCCCCAAGGGTGCTGTGCACAGTGCGTTCTGGGAGATAGAGAACGGGGGTCAGGGAGTGCACCCAGTGGGTGTGGAGTCGGACTGGACCCTGGCGTCTGTGCAACCGGCTTTCCCCCAGACTGCTGGCCGCCCGGTAAACAGCAAGACAGCACAGGTGTGAGAGAGCAATCAAGCCTGCTTAGGGGTCCTGCTCTCTGTGAGCTGTGAGCACTAATGTTAGTTGTACTTGGACGATTCTCCTAATTTTGTGTCCAAATATATGATATTTATGACAAGTCTTGAATATCTTATTTACCAGGTATATTTCTAACTGTTTTAACTGCTTTCTCAAAGAACTGGGAAAGTTTACATCTTGTTCAATATTTTGTAAAAAAAAATGAACAAATCCATTCATTTAGAACCATTTGATCTCTGTAGATTTTTTAGATAGTCGTTGAGAAAAAAATTATATGTTTTCCTAAGTGTAATTACATAATAAAAATTTTATTTTTCTTAAGAAATCAGTGTTTACATATTTCACCTAATAGAGCCAAATTGTACCTTCCCAGGAAAGTATGCATTTTATTTTATGTTTTAAATTAGAAATTGTGTTAGCTTTTCTTTGTTTTTCATTTTCCACATTTTACCAGGAAGGGGCGCGGTGGGGCTGCCCTGTGGTCCCTGCAGAGCTGCTCAGGTAGGATCACTCACTCAAAGAAGCTGGGCCTGTGGGTGGGGCGTGTGCTCCTGATGGGGACTCAGCAGTGTGTCCTCTCTGGCTGGTGGAGTCCCCATGAGCAGGGACCCCTTGGTCTCAGCAGGTGCTTCCTCCCCGGGTCTCCCAAATGGGAGACCACCCTCCATCCCCTGAGTCTGGGCTGTGAGCTGAGCTCTAGCACCAGGGCTCAGGGTTGGGTGGGCGGTCCCTGGGGGGAAACCCATTTTCATGGGACGCCCCTCCACTGGCAGAGGTTGGCAAGAAAAGGAGGCCTGGGGCAGCCCAGCCTCAGTATGGGGACCAGAGGCTGTGAGCACCATGGCCTGGACTCATCTGCTGCTCCTGCTCCTCTCTCACTGCACAGGTAGGGACGGGCCTCCGGGACTGGATCTCAGGTCCCCACCTGCAGCAGCCCCCGTGGCTCAGACTCTGGGAATGTTTCCTGCAGTTCCCATCCCTTCTGCCTCTTGTGTCTGTGTTTGCAGGGTCCCTCTCCCAGCTTGTGCTGACTCAGCCGCCCTCCCTCTCTGCATCGCTGGGAGCATCAACCAGACTTACCTGCACCCTGAGCAGTGGGATCAGTGTTGGCAGCTACTACATATCCTGGAACCAGCAGAAGGCAGGGAGCCCTCCCCAGTATCTCCTGTACGACTACACAGACTCCAGTAAGCAGCAGGACTCCTGGGTCCCAAGCCGCTTCTCTGGATCCTCGGCCAATGCAGGGCTTCTGCTCATCTCTGGGCTGCAACCCGAGGATGAGTCTGAGTATTACTGCTCTGCATACATCAGTGGCTCGTACACTCACACGGTGCCCCAGACCCACAGGGACGTGAGACTAAAACCTCCCCTGTGCTCTCCCCAGCGTAGAGGTCACAGCCTACAGACACCGGGACACCACAGGGCTCAGGGACTACGGTTCTAATGATGGAGCAGGAAGGTGGGGGTTGTGTGCTCCCCTCACCCTGATTTTCCTGGATCCGCAGACCCCGTGGTGGTGACAAATGTCCTCTGTCCCAGTCCTGCAGGAAAGACAGGGGACAGGTGTCTCCATGTCAACAAGACCTGGTCTCCTATTATGGGGAGGGGCTCACAGAGAAGCTCTGCCCTAAAGCCATCCTTCTGCCTGGAGGAAACCCTGCTGCATGGTGTCGCCTTTCTGACAAGGGCCTCCTGAGTTCCAGGCTCCAGACCCCGGAGGGGCTTCCAGAGAAGCAGCCCCAGGGATGGGTTGGCTGGAAGAACCATCCATGGAGAGTGGAGAAGCCACCAGAGGGACAGGGGCCACTGAGGCTCAGTTTGGACTTTGAGGGAACAGCTCCCCAGGGACACACAAGACATAATCTTTCCATCACACACACACACACATACACACACACCTACATACACGCACATGTACATCAATATGTACACACACAACATAGACACACATATACACATATACTTACACAAATACACACAAATACATACACAGCTACATACACACACACATACATATGTACACAAATACATACACACACAATACACACATACATACACATATACACACATAACACACAGAATTCTGGACTCTGCACTTTTCTGGATTCTCTGTCCCTGTAGAAATCAGGAAGCAGTCAGTGCTCACCCCACAGTCCTCAGAGTCAGGATTGGCAGGAGGCAGAACCTCCCTGTGCAGAGACACCAGTGACATCGACATACAGCAGGTCCTGGTGTCACAGCAGGCAGATTGCTAGATATGAGCAGAGAAAGGGGGTCACAGTAAAAAAGGCAGGAATTGGGCAGAAAGGAGGGGCACAGGCCAAAGGCAGGAAACCATACATCAGGTAAGCACCAGGGGTCCCTGGGCAGAGGAAGAAAAGCAGGAACCCTTGGGCTGATAAGTGGTCACAACTTTTGTGGTGATGAGTGGCCTGGAGAATGACAAAGGTGAGAAAATGCAGCAAGGTCCAATGTCCAAACGTAACCTTTGGCTCATTGTGCCCTCATGTCACTAAAATTAGCCTTGCAGATCAGAAGTACCCATCATGCACCGATGCCATGACACTTCCCACCCAGACTAAATAAGGACAAAATTCCCTCCTTCCGTTGGGAAGGTGGAGTTGGCATGATAATCAGGGAATAGGACCCCAAACCCTTCCGTCCCCAATGACTATTCCGCCCATTCATTTTCACACCCTGTGTAATAACTTGACAAGAAACTCAGGGCAGCCGCTCACGTGAGCCCGCCCGTCTTCCTTTGACACTGTACTGTCCAACCCTTAATAAATCCTCACTTTACTTTCTTTAACCACTATGTCTTGTCTCTGTATTCTTTCTGGGGCAGACAAGAAGCTGGAACACCGGTTACATCCACCGGCAACACCGGTGTCGGGGATGGCCAGGGCAGCCCAGTACCACCTGCTCTGCTGGGGTGACACTGATGCTCCGGGCCCCAGGACCAGTCTCTGCTCCCTGCTGGCAGCTCAGCCCCACGATGACCTCTGGGTCCAGACAGCACTTGAGGCCGCTCGGTGCATCTCTTCAGGGACGGCCGCCTCAGAGCTGTGTGGGGACCTGACACACACCCTCCCCTGTGCTCTCAGGGCCGGGCTGCCCTCCCTTGGGCACCACCCATGACACGTCCACCCAGGCAGACCTGGGCTCACACGTCCCCTGTCCCAGCCCAGAGGAACAGGGCTGTCACCTCAGGGACCTGGTTCCCTTGTCTCCACTTCCCCACGACTCAGACCTGGGACGCTGACAGGACTTCAGGGTCCTGTGGGCCGTGAGGAACAGGAGTTCCACCTCCAGGGACTGGGCGTCTGTAGGTACAGCGTCTCCTTCCTGAGCTGCTGCACAGGGAGCAGGCGTCACAGAGAAGAAGGAATTGGACTCTGTGTTGGGTCTGTTCCTTTGGCTCCAACCATGGTGCTCTGACTTGCAGGCCCTGCACCTTTGAAAGGGAACATGGCCCACAGCCAGAAGTAAACCTTAGCTCCTTCTCAAGGCTTCACCTGCCAGGCTGGACCTTTAAGGACAACACTTCTCATTCCCATGGAGATGAGAAGCTGCAGAGCAGAGAATCACATGGGACTTGTGGGACCGTTGCAGCATCAGTGTGACCAGACCCACCTGGACAGCTGCGCCAACACAGGATGATCGCATCCCCACTGGGGTCTGTCTGGCAACGAGAAGGCTGCAACCACCAGCCACCCCTGTCCCCTTGTGGTAAAAAAGAAGCCTCAATTCCGACTCTGGTAAATGGTCTTTGGGACCTTCGTCCATCATCTTCCTCACCTGCTGGCTTTCCAAATACAGCCACTGTTCTTTGCCCCAAGCCTGTCTTCTCCACTTATTGGCCTGTCCTGCTGTGCACAGTTGGGGCCGGGGTACCAGCATCTCTGTGCATCACCTCCCTGTGTGCAGGGTCCTGGGGGCCTGGCTGCCTCCACTTCGATTTCAAAGGAGGATCCCCAGGCCCAGGCAGGGAGGCCTTGTGCATGGGCAGACTGAGCAGAGTAGCTTCAGGACCTCCTGCTGAGCTGTGGGTGACAGTGCCACCCCAGTGGGCCTGGGGGCCCAAGGATCAAACAAGGAGAATTACTCTCAGCCAGAGGGTTTTTCTTCTGTTTGCTTTATTTGGTTTTGCAGACCTGGGACCTGTCACGGTTCTGTCCTGTCTCTCCCTTTGGGAAGGTGTTTCTCTGACCGTGACTGTCCCATCATTATATTTTGAGGACATAATTGGTTTGCTTTCCCAGGTTCACAGCTTGGGGGAAGTTGCATGAGGGTGGATTGTCCCTTGAGTCTCACGTGCATGGTTTAGATCATAGTGAGGTGAGTCTTTGGACTCAGTCTGTCATGTTGACTCTGGGTCAAGATAAGACGTTTGGGGCTATTGGAGGAATCGGATGGAGGGTTATGGATTGGGAGCCATGGGAACCATGCTTGGAACCAATGTGTCCCCAACATTCGTATGTTGGAAACTCATCACCAATTTGGTAGCATTTGCAGGTGAGGAATTGGGGATGCTTAGGTGAAAACATTGGGGTCTTGACGCAGGGGGCTGGTGTCCATTTAAATGGGACCCCAGGGAGCTCCCTCCCCACCTGCATTGTGAGGACACAGTCAGAAGATGGCCCTGTGTGAACCAGGAAGGTTCCTTCTCCAGACCCTGAATCAGCCAGCACCTTGACCTTGGGCTGCCCAGCCTCCAGAGCTGTGAGACACAGTCTCAGGTTTATAAGCCACCCCATCTCTGGTCATCTGTTATAGAGCCAAAGGGACTATGGCCACTCTGAGCCAGCATCACACAGGATCAGAAGCAATTTCTGCTCACCTGGAAGGGACAGAAGGACATATGAAGAGCTGCCCCAATGCTGTTGAAACTGCCCACTCCGTGTAGGTGTCCCAGCAGGAACTGCACATCTGAACACTCCTCAGGTCACCCTACTGATATATTACATCGCTCATGAGCATTTATTGGAATGAGATGAATCAAAGGTGGGAAGTCCATCATACTCCCGGCTGAGATACATGGATCACAGACGTGGAGACCAGCCCTGAGAAGGACCAGGTCCAGTCACACCTGAGAGTGAGTCCTCTTGCGCACTAGGGATCCTCGAGCCTGTGGCCACCCAGACATCCTTAGAAAAGTCAGAGACAAATGATTACATCTCCCAGTTCTCATTTCCAAGTGGGAATCACAGCACTTCAGAGGCCATTTTGGTTCTGAAGCACATATCTTGTAACTGCTTTCGATGCAAGAAAAACGGATGTAGGGTGTGAGAAGCGCCATACCCCATGCTTCGATGGAGCCCCTGAGACGTGCCCCGCCAGATGTGGGTCCTTGGCTTCGCACAGGAAAGAATTCAAGAGTGAGCCACAGTTGAGTAAAGGTAGATTTATTCATAGAGATGCATTGAAAGACAAGAGAAAGGCCACGAGGTGTAGGGGTTGGGTGCTGAGATTAAAAGTATGTACACACTGCATAGAGAGAGGGCTGTCCCTGAAGAGGGAGGGGGAGTCGAAAAAGGCCACGAGGCACCTTGTTGCCAGTTTTTATTGGCTCAGTGGCTTCATATGCTAATAATGCGAGGACCAGTCTAACTAGCCTGGGGAAGGGGCTGGGATTCTCAGGAAGTTGGCCATTTCCCACTCTGACCATTTGTGGCCAGCCTTGGGACTGTCATGGCACCTGTGGTATGTTATTCACCAAACTAATATTTTACACTGGGCGTATACTGAAGCTCAAGGGCTGCTAGAAGTCAAATCTCCCACCATCTTGAGCCTCAAGGCCTACTGGGGGTTGAATCTTCCACCATTTTGATGTTAATTGCTGTATCATTCCTTGAATGCTGTGCCCTGCCCCATTCTGTGTCTCACTCAGACCTGTTCACCTGATAACAAGGAAGGGTCTGGCTGGACAGGTTCCGGAACAACACGCATGTGCTCTGTTCCCTCTGTGAGATGCAAGACCCCCGTCACTGCTGTCCTGTGATTCATCAGATGCTGTTAGAAGACTTAACTCTGAGAGAAAATATAAAAAGAAACAAAATCAAAACACTGTGTAGAGCATTCGTTCTGCAGCAGTGGACTTTCCACAGTTAAGTCAATGCGGATGCTCCTTGGGACAGGTGGACACTGAGCATCTGTCCATGTGATGGTCACCGGCCACCTGCTTATGTCCCTACAGGAGTGGTTGGGTGTCTAGTGGAATCTGCACTGAGACAGCAGGGTCCCAATATCCCAGCTCTGCTCAACAACCAGGATGGCTGTAGGTTGAGGATGGGAGTAGAGAAGGAAGGGGGGCAGGGATGGAATTAAGTCCGCATCTCCCCAGATTCCTTCCATGTCCTCCCCTGTGGGTGTCCATGTCCCTCGGGGAGGTCCTGGTCACAAGCAGTGCCCAGAGCCAACCTACCTCATCTGAGCCCCTGTGTAGGTGGTTTCCCCCTGCTGGCTGTTCCCTGCATCCTATCCTCAGCTCCACTGTGGTTCCCAAGGGGCCAGGATCAAGTGTGCCTCCCAGTAGCCAGTCATTCATGGATCCGGGAGCCAAATCAGTGAGGGTCACAGCTGCATGGTTCCCTGTAGGGATGATTCACTCTTGGGAAACACAGGAATCAGGGAAACAGCTGAAGGTGAGATTTTGGACCAGAGAGAAAGGAGAGTTTCTCCAGGAGACCAGCAGGGGGCACTGTGAGGCCTTCTGGGGAGGTTTGTGCAGGACAGGTGCTCAGGGCTTGGCTGACCTCTTCTGAGGGAGGCCCGGGGTGCGGCCCTCTGCTTCCTGTGGGGGTGGGAAGCCGTGTCCCCTTGGGGACGGGCTGGGTCCCCTGCACGTGTGCCTGTGAGGGGTCCCAGCAGCTGCTTCCTCCCAGGGCAACCCATGGGGAAAACAGTCACGAGGGAGGCTCCCTGTCCAAGGGCCCCAGACCCTGTGGGTGCACACGGTGGAGCGGCAGCAGGTGAGGACACATTTGCATGACAGCCCCTCCTCTGTGCGTCCCTCGGGGGAGGATAAGAGAGGCCAGGGCAGCCCAGCCTCAGCTCATGGCCTAAGCAGGACTGTGAGCACCATGGCTCGGATCCCCGCCCTCCTCGTGCTCCTTTCCCTCTGTGCAGGTACGACGGGCCTCGGGGACCCAGGCGGCTCCCAGCCGAGTAGTTGCTTCTACCTCAGGTCCCCAAGCAGCTGCATCTTGTCCCTTCTCCTAACTCTGCTGTGTCTGTGTTTGCAGGGTCCCTCTCCCAGCCTGTGCTGACTCAGCCGCCCTCCCTCTCTGCGTCTCCGGGAGCATCAGCCAGACTGACCTGCAGCCTGAGCAGTGGGACCATTGTTGGCGGCTACCATATAAACTGGTACCAGCAGAAGGCAGGGAGCCCTCCCCGGTACCTGCTAAGGTTCTACTCAGACTCCAATAAACACCAGGGCTCCGGGGTCCCGAGCCGCTTCTCTGGATCCAAAGATGCATCAGCCAATGCAGGGCTTCTGCTCATCTCTGGGCTGCAGCCTGAAGACGAGGCTGACTATTACTGCGGTACATATCATAGCAACACTGGTACTCACACGGTGCCCCAGCCCCACAGGAACGTGAGACTGAAAGCTCCCCTGTGCTCTCACAGCTGCGCTGTCACTGCTGCTCTGCCTGGGACCAGGTCTGACTCAGGGTGACTTTCTGTTGTCACATCTTCAGGAATCACCTGCGTTTACTCTGAACAGCAAATCTGACCCTGTCACAACCTCTTCCTCATCTCACATTTGAGACTGACCATTGCTGTTGTATCTCAGCCTGCTCGTGTTTCCACAGGCAGACAGTACCTGCTCTGAGATGAAAACCTCCCTGTGGAGATGTTATAAGTGGCAGAACCTAGTTGGTCCCAGCCCAGCCCCCTCAGTGTCTAAGGGTGACCCCAGGATGCTTCTTGTCTAAGAGCTTCAATCTGAGGTCTGAGATCCAAAATCAACATGCAGAAGTGAGCAGTAAAATACATACTGGCAATAAACCATCAGAAATTGACAATAAAATGTAAAAATACCAATTAATGGCTTCAAATGAAGAAATAGGTAAGGATTATTCTGACAAATAAAATCCTCCCGACTCCGTCCAATGGCAGAGCCTCCTTGACCCCCAGGGTTCCTCCTGAGTCGGAGGGTGATGACCACTGTCACAAAGCTGAGCACGGCCTGGGTGGGCCAGAACTCCAGTCCCTGAGACCAGAGATGGGCATCTTCCCCCCACTGTCTCCAGTGTGACTCCTCAGTCCCTGCCCCCGCTGTGGCCTACAGCAGCTCTGGTGTTGGATTCTGCCATCACTTCAGCTACAAGAACCAGAGAGAGAGATGTTCTGGATTAGGTGTGATCCTGAATGGGTTGGAAATAACCTCCTCTCTTACTGGTCTTCCCGTGACAATCATTTGTCACCAGTATCTAGAGTAGTCCCCCTCGTGTTGCATGCGGAGGACAAGGAGGAGACAAGTCCTGCCTGTGGGACCCAGGGCACCAGGTCCTGCTCTGGCCGATCCCCACATGTCCCATGAGCCTGGCCCAGGCTCTGCTGGTGAGCCCTGGGCTTTGAGACCTTCATGAAGCAGAATCTCTGTGCAGGTGGGAGGACCTCCTGGACGCCAAGGTGCAGGATACCCTCCCTTCTCCTGAGTTTACCTCCGTTAGTCTAATTGTCTCCGACTCTGATTTCTGTTTTGTTTTGCTTTTATTGGGAAGTTATTTGAATGGATCTCAGTTCGTTGGAGTCTGGAACCTGTTACCAAACCGTCATTATCACACGGAACCTCAACACTACAGGAAATTTCTAGAACTTTTTCTTCTGCCTTCAATGCCAGTCTATGGAGGACTTTACTGAATGAACGTAAGGTTCCCTGGGGGATGGGTAACAGCTATGGAGGCCACTAGGGTCAGAAGACGAGGAAGCACCTCCAAGTAATGAACTAATTAAGTGATTAATTACAGATGATTATAATAATGACTCACCCTCAATCCTTAAACTGAAAGCAATTGAAAAATTAGACCAAAAATGGAAAAAAATTCATGAACACGGCCGAGATTCAGAATAGGAAAGAATGAATCCTGAGCTGAGCAGTTAAAGGCAAATGGAGCCTGAGGTGCAGGAGGGAGGACATTGTGTGTCTATTATGCTGTGTTCTAGGGGTCACGAAAGCCATCCGATGCCCATAATTATGCCCTGGGGGTGGGGATCTAACAGGTGTCCCTCACAACAACACCATCACCAACAAAAAAGTGTCGGCCTGTCCAGGTAACCCAGATAGAATTTTTGTCCATATGAACCAGGAAAGTAGGCTGTAGACTCTTACAGTATGAACTTGGCTTATTTTATTCATTAGTTTTTAGGTATTTAGGGGGAAGAATTAGGTTATTACTTATTTTCAGTGGAGGTACTCAGGATTGCACCCTGGACGTTGGGCATGAAAGCACACACTCTACCACAGAGCTATACCCTCCCCGTTGAACGTGGCTCAGGATGGCCCTGTATTTGTAATGACCCAGGCACATGGAAGGATTTAACAAGATGTGGGGTGATCCTGAACACATGTAAGATAAGGACCTTGCAATAAATCCCTGCTTTAGCACCTGGAGGGCATTCATTGTATAGATATGATCTAGACGGTCAACGTCTCAGTCCCAAACCCAAAGGAGGATCCTCCTCTGTCTACTCGCCTGGGGAGTAAGGTGACAAAAATACATGTCGCACATTTGTCTGCCCTCCAGGAGTGCTGGGTGTTGACAGTGGGGCTGCGGGGGCCTGGATCAGAGGCCAGCAGAGGGCGCTGTTGCACACGTCCTGAAAAGGCAGGGTTCTGGGCAAAGCTACCTCTGAAATTTTTCTATTGACACCTGCACACTTGGACAGCGACCTTACAGGCGTGTGGCCTTGGCTGATTTATGTGACCAAAATTAAGGGTCACACACCCACTCCTGGGAACAAAGTCGAGAACATGTTGCCCCAGCATCTCAATTGTGCCCCCAAAGCCTGTCCTGGAAAAAGCACATTATCTGATTGCACCCCATCCAGAAGGATTTCCTGACATCAGAGGCAGGGAGATTCCGTGATGGGTCAGGGCTAGAACCAGGGACACATGCAGATTCCAGGTCTGTCTCAATCAAGATGGCTACTGACTATTCAGAAGTTGATCTGAGTGCACCATTTATGGACACCTGCTATGTGCTGGCTCAGGTGGAAGATACACATCATTAGGGGATTGAAGCTGGGTCACTGCTTGTGCCTGCCTGGTGCCCTCTGCTCACGGACCTAGATGGAACACACTCCAAGACTGGGCCTCGCATATCCCTGACCCTGCCGCACCTCTGGGACCTGATCCTGTGCCAGGGAGGGATCAGAGAGCTGCTGGGGGGTGGTTTGCACGACTGGCCCCTCCCTCTCGCAGAATATGAACACGGGGAGAGACCTGGGGACGCTCTGCTCAGCTGTGGGGACACAGAACACAGGACCTGGTGACCATCCCGACCATGGCCTGGTCCCCTCTCTTCCTCACCGTGCTGGCTCCCTGCACAGGTGACTGGATGAGGGACAGAGGAAGGGGCCTTAGGAGGACACATGGACCCTGCGTCCTCCTCTTGTGTTTGGGCCCCAGAACCAGCATCTCTATGTCTCCCACTTGCATGATCCTGGGCCCAGTCTGTGCTGACTCAGCCGCCCTCTGTGTCTGGATCCCTGGGCCATAGGGTCACCATCTCCTGCACTGGAAGCAGCAGCAAAATCAGGAGTGGTAATTATGTAAACTTGTACCAACATCTCCCAGGAACATGCCCTAGACTCCTGATCTATCATGTTAAAAATCGAGCCTCAGGGGTCCCTGACCCATTCTCTGGCTCCAAGTCTAGCAACTCAGCCTCCCTGAGCATCACTGGGCTCCAGGCTGAGGACGAGGCTGATTATTACTGTGTAGACTGGGACAACAGCCTCAGTTCTCACACACTGCTCCAGGCCAGGGGAGAAGTCAGACAAAATCCAGCTGTCCCCTCAGCCCTTGCTTTCTCTCGGCAGTAGAACCAACCTGTGCCAAGCCAGCTGCTTCCTTAATTTGTTTGGCTGAAAACCTGGTCTGAGACCCACACCAGGAACCGAGGCTAGAAAATGTGTCCACATCTTAAAAGCTGTCCCCAACCCTTTTCTTGGTGGCAACATTTTATCTGATCATCTGAAATTGAGCTAAAATTTCTGGATGTCGGGACAGCACCCTGGGGACAGAATGCCTGCCAGGTGAGGGCAGCCCCAGGGACACAGAGTCCAGCTTGGTCTCAGTCAGGACACATCAGAGTGTCCTGTGCGTGTTCTAGTACCAAGAGCTCCCGGGATGGGGCACCAAGCCCCTCATCTCTGATACTAGTAGTGGGTCCCCCTCGGGTTCTCAGGTCTCACGTCTGGCATCTGGCTCCTTGGCCAGCACTGGGCTGAGCTGAGAACAGGCCGCTCCTCCCAGCTTTCCTGTGAAAGCGTCTCAGGCTCAGCCAGCATGTGAACTGCGGGAACTGAGAGCAGAGCCCCTTTCTTGACTGTGGGCAGGGGACCCGGCAAGGCCTCCCGCTCAGGCTCTGGCTGGAGCTCCTGCTGCTGCTGCCCTCTGGGTCCCGGGCACCCAGGGGCCTTGGTGGGAGTGGAGGACCCCTCCTGTCTTTCTCTCAAGTCCCTGCAGCAGAACATCCCTAGGAAAGGGTCTCGATGGGAACAGGAAGTCCATCTCCCCATCGCTGGGGATGCATTGTCTCTTTCACTGAAGCTCACTGGCTGAGTTTGGGGGTCTGGCTGAGGTCCTGGACGTGAACTCTGACCCTTGTATCCTGAGTCTCCATCATTGGAGTCATCTACCAATTTCCAGGGCTTTCCAGAGCTCCGACTCCTGTTGTCAGTCCTCGGTGTGAACACCTGTGCGTTCTGCTCGCTGGGGAGATTTCTTCCCAGCTGCGCCAGCTCCAGGGTGTCTGAGGCTGCAGCAGACATTTGAGTCTTTTGAAACAACTACCTCTCCATTCCCCTCGAAGCAAAGATCCAAGCATTGAATTTTCCTGATTAATTGCCCTAATACTTGCAGAATGATGTTGACTAATAATGGAGCTGCAATTCACATCTTGCGCTCCTGGTGTGTGGCATTTGTACACATTACTGTCACCAGTCACCCATCAGAGATAGTTGGTGCTCTAACAATAATGTTTCACACGGCATTATGTTCGCTCTTGATACACTAATGAAGTTGTCCCCAAATAGAAATTAAAAAGTGCTTTATGCCTGTTCTTTTCCCCGGGAAGCTGTGGAGAGAGCGCTGGTGCATTTCAGTTGCTGACACCGTCCCCCTGTGCAGAATCCAGCCTTCCTTTGCCCCATCTCACTGCACCTGGGCTGCACACCTTCCCTCCAGGCCCACAACCCACCCCATCATGGGTTTCCTGCTGGATCAACAAGAAAGCATCGCTTATCAACATCTCTAAATAGGCCTACCTAGTACCTCCTGCAGGGGGCACAAAGCTGCACAAAGCAGATTGTTTTCTCGATACTAACACGTAGGTGCCGAGAGGATATTTAAAGAAGACAGTTTCTTTTATAATAGAATCAAAAAGAACAAAATAGTTTGGCACAGAATTTTCTGAGCAGGTGAAAGGCTATAAACTGAAACCTACA